TGAGCTTCTTGACGTATCGGGAACATTTGTGATCCTCAGTCGATGTCTCAAGACCACTTTCTCCATCGAGATGTACTCTTCGTGAGGGTTGACCAACATCATCAATGTCGTTGAAATCATTGAATCCGACTTGAGAATGTGTCAATAGGTCATGGATCTTTGATGCATGATGGCATTCATGAGGAGTGCATTCGTAGGTTCCAAGATCAACGTATGGGATGTTGTCATGGATTGTCAGATCGATGCGTTCTCCATTCTTCGTAATCATGAAAGGCATTTGACCAGATGGCCATACAAAGGAGTATCCTTCTTCCATGCATCGTTTCCCAAGAGACATCACGGATGGAGTGTCGTCCAGTACATAAGCATGAGAGGTCACATCAAAGGTTCCCAGGTCAATCTCCGCTTCTGTCTGAGTAGCAGTTGAACCGTTGGCTGTGTGGAACATGATAGGATCACAAGTTCGTTGCTTCAGGCTCATCCTTTCGGCTTTCCTTGCAGAAATCAGATCGTGTCCGCTGCCAGAATCCAGGATGAATCTGCGATCTTTGGCTTGTACTGGTAATGAAATGCACATCATGTTCTTGGACTTTATGAGGAAGTTTCCAACTTCGTGCTCAACAAGCTCTTCAATAAAAGTCAAGTCATCACGATCATCGTCCAGCTTGATCAACATGTCGAACTTGGGGCCAATAATGATTCTAACTTCATCAACAAAACGATGGAGTCCACACCTATCCATGATGATAGCTTTGGCCCGTGCTCGAACTGAACCAAGTGTGTTGTCGGACTTGGACTGATCGTCGGTCAAATCATCGACCTTCCAGAAGACGTACCGCTTGTTGGGGTCACGATACATACGTTTGGGTAGTCCCTCTTGGTAGTTCTCAATTGCAATCTCATGCACTTCAGGTTCCAGATCAAAAGAGATTCTGCGAACATCAGAAGGTTTCTTTGCGCTGGCTATCCTCGGTGAGGTATAATCCATAGAATCTTCATTGTCGCTGTCAAAGAAGGAGTCAATGGTAATGGGAGTCGCTTTCTTCTTTGGTGTCTTCTTGCTGGTTCTTTCTGAGGATGCTGAAGGCGACTGGTCTGCATGTAGGAATTTACATTTGCTCCCAAACGTGCAGGTACCCTTCTGCCAATTCCAACATATCTTCTTTTTGGGTCCAGCTGAAGACGAACTCCCCTTACTCTTTCCCCTTGATGAATCTCGACTTCCACTTCTGCCTTTCTTACCTTTCATCTTGGCATCATAGACCTTCTGAGAATGACTGTAAAGACATTTGTCACCTTTGTTGCATCCTCCTTTATTGAAGAAGTAGTTACAGAAAATCTTCTTGTCAACGGGTGAAGATGATCTTCCCTTCCCACCTTTGCCTCTCTTGTTGTTCTTGTCGGCATGAGATTTCGGAGAAGGTGTAGGAAGTACAGATGCAGCTTCACTTTTCGCTTTCGCCTTAGGCCGTTTGGGAGGATCACCTGTAGACGATGCAGCTGCTTCATTCTCCTTCTTGGTCTTGACGGGAGCGGCAGGCTTGTCTGCATCTTCTAAGGCAGGTGTCGTTTTGTTAGAGGACAATGACAGTTTCACTGCACGTTCTCTATCTTTCAACAGTCGTTCTTGCTTTCCTCTTGCTATGTATCCTTTGATCATGCCAGTTAGGTAAACATAGGTCTTCTCAGGATGTCCTTCATCAAAGGTTTTGTATCGATTGATATCAAAGGCCATAAGCTTTGAATGTTCAATCTTCCGGAACAATGTGTCACGCAGGGAATTGTTGGAAGGCAGATCATCATGTTTCATGTTGTATACGATGTCAAGCCACTTGTTGTAGAAGGCCTCAAGTTGGTCATCTCCATAGTAGTTGAACATATACAAATGATGGGCGTTGTAGAGAACTTCAGTATGGTCAGGTGACTTGAAGCTAATCAGTATCATTGCGAATAGTTCTCGTCCTTTGATGAAGTCCCCACTTCTCCCATACAATTGGTTCTTCATGGACATGTCATACTTCACTTGCATGGACTTGTCCCCAGCATTGTCGATGACTTTCCTCAAGGCATTGGAGAGCTTGGCATCGATGGATTGGAATCTCACATCGGGTGCTTTGGCCAGGACCTCCAAGTCAGGTTGATCTGCAAGACACGGAGCTAGCCACGCTTTCCAATCTTCATAGTTTCGATCTCCACTTGCAACACAAACTTCATGAACGACACTTCCCTTCCAGGATGAAAGTTCAGTGGTCTTAGGCCAGGGTTGGAGGCTGATCTTTTCGGCTTCTCTTAGAGATGCGGATGACTTGGATCTATCCCTTTCAAGGTTCTCCAACTCCTTGACATTGGTGTTGTACTCGTTCCTGAGCTTTTCGAAGGCTTCAGCTTCTGCTCGGTATTCCTGCTCTTCATCGTTGGCGCGATCTTCAGCTTGAGAGAAATTGTTCTTGTAATAGTCTTTCCGATCTTCCATCTTCTTCAACTCATCTTGAAGATTTCGAACTTCATTGTTCTTCTCTTGCTTCATCTCGTCCAACTCTGCTTTCAGTTTGGCACACTTCTCCTCACATTCATTCCGAGGCATAGCATTACTGGGGTACCCATGTAATGTAGTCGGTCTATTCTTTGATGAAGAAGAATGAGCTTGATTTTCCAACTTCAGGGCAGCAAGAGTGCTCGACATCTCTTCTACCTCAGCGAAACGCTCATTGGCCAATTGATGCATCTCAGTCAAGTGGCTCTCAGGAATGGAATAGTCAGTCGCACCTTTGATCACGAGTCTTCTGTCGTTCAACATCTTGATGGACTTACCTGCATCCCTGTGAGCACGCTCAAGAGAATCCTTTTGGGCTTCAAGTTCAGTATGAAGGCGAGCAATAGCTGTGTCCCTGTCATTGATTTCATTGTGTAAACTGTCGAACAAATCACTCGTCACATTCGGATTGTTGCTCATGTGATCGATCTTGTTCAGAGCATCTTGATATTTCTTACCAGTTTCATCGAAGTTTCGCTGGAAGACTTTGAGCAGGTCCTCAGTGTCAATGAGTTCAGTTCTATTCTGCAAGTACAACTTGTCAACTTCAGCCTTGGACTCTTTCAAGCTGTCACGTTCACGCACGGCTTGCACATACATCTCGTATAGAGGTCCTCCATGCGGTGATCTGCTTGGCGAAGATCTTCTGGCTTGTTGACAGGAAAGTTCATGATATTGATTCTTCGATTCAGTCAGTTGTTGTTGCATTCGATCTAAAAGACTTTGTTTCATGTGCAATTCAGAACGTAGTCCCATTATCCTCATGTCCCGCATGCCACCTGATTCAGCTAGAGATTCTTCAGAAACCCTGTTCTCAGAAATCGCTAGTCGAGATTGTAAGTTTTCACTGTGAATCGCCTGCAATCGAAGTTGCGATTCTTCCAAAGCTAAGTGATGTTCACATTCTGCATAACGGTCATGTTCAGATCTTATGTTACTACGGAACTCCTTCATGATCTCGTCCCTCTTCATGTCAGCAGCATCAAGCTCAGTTTCCAGTCGTCTAACGTTCATGGACATGGTGTGCTTCATTGTCTGGTTTTGATTGGCAACCTCGAGCATCTCGATCTGTAAAGCACATGTTTGATCATTGGCGTAGCCGACCGCTAGAGCTTCTTGCTTGGCATTCATCTCTGCGTTTTCCAGTTCCAGTCTGAGTTGATTGATGTGAGCATTTGCATCTGCGCCCACATGTACCATAATTGCGCTCGCTTGTCCCATTTGTTCATCGAATTCCGAACGTAGTCGTGAATATTTGAATTCCAAATGAGATGCAGCTTCATTCGACATAGTCTGATACCTTTCCAACTCTTCGATCCTGTAGGTCGCACCTTCATCTTCTTGTTGTGCAGCCTGTAACTCGAAGTTCAGCATCTGGAGTTGTTCGGTCATCGACATCATCTCTTGATGAGTGGTGCTTTCCAGGAAATTAAATTGTTGATAGGCATAAGCTGTCGTCTCGGTCAATCTTGCCTGAAGTACGGATTCTTCTTCAGTGGCCTTTTCCAGTGATGTCTTGTATTCAGCTAATTCACTCTGATAGGCAGTGAAGATGTCGCTACCACTCGATGGGGCGTTCACTTGCTGATAAGATCCTGTCCCTGATGGAGTAGCGTCCTGAATCGGTGAAGGCGGATTCGACGACGTAGTCTTTGCCTTAGTCCTTGGAGTCATCGGAGGCGACGATTGTCGTGCAGATGATCTTCTCTTTCCAGGTGTGCTGTCCCTATCTTCAATTGCTTGCATTGTCGAAATTTGTCTCCCTCTAGGAGCAACCAGAGGTCGCCTGGGTTGGCTCGTTCTCAGTTCTGAGGCATCGCTTCCACCAGTGTCGATACTCTGTGAAGAATTTGACTGCGTGCCGGCAGCTGGTGCAACGGCATGTCCAGAGAAAGAAAATGCATTATCGCTGCTATCCTGTTCAGTCATCTGTAAGGCCCGCGGCTACCCGCTCGTAGGCTCCGTAGGAGTCCTACGGCTGATAACCTGTGAACCGGGGATTGCTTGCCCGATTATGTCCTGGTACTTGGGGTTGAAAGGAAATGTTCCAGTGACGACTTCACTCGGATGGCGGCTTCCGCATGGCGGTTCTTTGCTCTGATGCTGCAGTGGGTCTTGAGCCAAAAGGGCGAGTGTCGTACCCTTTGGCTGTGGATCTTAGAGTGTTGAATTATGTGATATTGTACAATGGTCCGTAGCCTACACTCTATTCGCGGATTGTGTGTTGTGTATATTATATATATATATATATATGTGTGTGTGTACTTAGCTCTGTGTGCATTTTATGCATCTGTACATGTGCATAATTATCATATAATGACAATCAAGTTTATAGCATTAAGAAAGCATTCTATCTTTTCTGGGATGCCTACACTCTATGACTATTGACTGCTACATCTGTTAGCATCATCCCTGGAGGACACCCCAAAAATCACTGGAATGTGCCCGACCAAATGGTTTGGAGTGCCTGGATGGTTTCTGTGAGACGGTGGATTTCACCATCTTTCTGGTCCATCTCGGCAAGCACCTATGGGGTGAACAACTGGGAGATGATTGGGATTGCAGGACACCATTTCAGGGGAAAAATAGGGAATTAGTTTTAAAAATCTCTCTTAGGATTCTTAGGTAAAATTGATTAATTCATATTAATTCATTGTGTTCCAAGTTTCTTGGATCGCTATTTTCCATTATTTTCCCCCATCTTTGGTTTCTTAATTGTAAGCTTTGGGGGTTGCAGCTCCCCTTGGCAAGCATCAGTTGTTATTAACTATTGTGCGGGGATGTGTCGGGTTGACTGGGATTCTCGTGAGGTACCCCTTACCGCTCACAGTGGAGAGGGGTGAGTTGGTTGCCGTAACTTGGGATAACTGCCATTATAATTACTATCGATTAAAAGTTATCCCAATACCATGCTTATTATGTTGTTATCATTGATTAACTGTTTTACTATAGTCAGTTATAATTATATAACATCGATTAAAATCCGCTGACTATATTACTATAAAGTATAAAATATCATATTACCTCTGGTTTCCCCATTATACTATATTACTAGTTATTACATGTTATTACTATATATATACCCAATGGGCTTTCCCCAGAGGTAACTACCATAAGTCCTCTCCCCAGATGTAACTACCATAAGTCCTCCACGTCCGTTTCGAGGTTTCCAACTTTTCTATTCGGGGGTTACCCTCTGGTAATTTAACGTAGCTATGGAAAGATCCACCATTTTTAATGGGAAAACTCACTATAAATGGCCATTTTCAATAGCTACGTTAAATTACCAGAGGGTACTGCATTTTGAATGTTATAGATGATGTTTCCAACTTTTCCAGTATCCAGTATACTTTTCATTCTGAATTCTGGATGACAAGCACGAATTACCCTAAATGATATCCCCTAACCGAACATGGCAATGTTCAGAAATTCCTCAAAAAAACTATTAAACCTGGTGTTTTTTCATGAGCATCTACCAATATCATCCAATATCTACCATAAAAGGTCTTAAAGGGTGGAATTTTCCAGCCATGTTTGATTACTGGCTACCCACCTTCTGCAGCTGGCGCTGGTGTTCCTCCGCAGCAGTTCCCTGCAGGAGCTTGATCAGTGTTTGGCATCCGAAAAACGTCGGGAAAAGAACGGGGAAACCTACGGAAAAATTATGAGCTGAACATGATGTCACGTCATCAAAATTATGTAATCATTTTTTACTCAATTTGATTTAAGCCATGAAACTTCTGAAAATACTAAAGCCATCTGATCTCACAGACCTCTCACACTCCGAATCCGCGCGCCTTGAGGTACGATTCGAGGCGATTGCACAAGGCACGGAGTTCCGCCACACTGGTTTGCTCCTTCTGGGTCTTGAAACACTGTAACTTCTCCGCTATCCTCAAATGCTAGCAGAAGGACCATGCCCAAAATGGATCAAAACGGCGGCTGATGGCGGCTGTTGCCCTGCCCAACGGAACAATACCAGAATAAACCAAATATCCTGGTCATAGTTGGATGAGACTATCATCCCAAGTTGGTAGTCACCTTTGAAACCACCAAGAAACAGTCATTCCTTCCTGTTCAAATTTCCCCTCAGACAGCCCGGCTTCCCAATCCAAGTCATCCAAGTTGCACTTTGCAAACGATGACTTGTAGGCCCTGCCATGTGGAAAGTATGTTGAATGATTCACCTTCACTCAGCTGAGCACAATCGGGTTGCAGCCCACAAAATATCAAGAAATCTACCAGCCGCAACCCAGTGACCAATCACTTGCCACAGTTACTACTCATTTTGGGTCTGTCTGGAGGTAGAGGAGAATGGGAAAAAACAAGTAGTAGATAGTAGTAGCGCTAAATCCATCGGCTTATATGGGGGTTTCCATACCCCAAAATGGATGGTTTATAATGGGGTACCCCTCCTTTAGGAAACCTCCATATTCTAGTCATATCATTATTTCCCTGCTGATTCTCAAAGAAACGCCTTGTCAAGGTGCTCCACTGCATCCCACATGTAGTGATGCACCTCGGCAGCCATTTTACAAGGTTCCTCCAGGCCATAAACAATGCGGTAAAACAAATAAACCTCAATAAACAAGCATTTTGGGAGGGCTCTGGCTATGGTCAATTTGGGGAATGTTTTGTGAAGATTGGGGTGTTCCATGTTTTTCCATGTTCCCACCGAAAAATGTGTTCCCCTCCAAAAGCGAAGATCAACCTCTCGCGCCCTCATCTTCAGCTCCCGACATCCCCAAATTCGGGTCCGACCTTGGGACATGGACACCAGTCAAGGGCAGCTAAATTCCTGCGCCGGTTGTGCCTCCAAATCATTGGTTGCTCCAGCCAGGACCTGCGGCAATCGAAACTACTGAAAAGGGAAGGTGGTTTGAACCATTAACCAGGGCATGTGATTTTAAAAACAACTAGATTGGGTGATTAAACTAGGCATAATATGGCATAATTGAAAAATAATATGAACATCCTGAAATGTATACCATTATGTACATCATCATCGCATTTCAAGGGATAGAAATCGAAGAAAAAATGAAGCCGCACACTGGAAAAATTGTCGAAAACGTCATTTGCAAATGTAAAAGTCCCGACCCCTAGGATCCTGCCAGAATGCACCCTGAAGTATCCGTCTAAAAGTATAAAGGGGTGTTACAGTACAAGCCAACCCTGCACAAACCTTTGCGTACTGTGGTTACCTCCGCTTTAAGAAGATGACCCCTATCACTGTCAGGAAGTTTAAGCCATCCCCAACACTAAAATAACATGTTTGGGGATACCCCACTATTCAACATCATTCTCATGCAGAGCTGTATTTGTTGCAATTGTGCCATCCACCGAACTGTTTAATGCTGCTTTGAAAAATGATGGGTGCATGCGGGTGCATGGGAATAGCGACCCCATGCGGCCCCGGAGTAAATAAAAATATGTGGAAGTAATTAGTTCGAGACATCGAAAAAAAATATATATGAGGTTGGTATCATGATATAATTTATAATAGGGATAAGTCCCTATCACGTTCTGCTATGCCTCCCCTGTTTGTCCAGCCTGGGACCGCTTGAATGCCATCGCCGCATTGGCCGCTGCGGTGACACTGATGGACCGCCGCGCCTTCCTGGATACTGACCTGGCTCAACATGGTGACTTGTTTCTAGCGACCCGGCTCAAAACCTCGGAGATTCTCAAGATCAAAATTTTCGTCACCAACTGGCAGCTGAAAAATGCCAAGGGGCCAAGGGCTGGCAGAATTTGAATCATGGGTCTGTTTAAAAAATATCCTAATAATAGTTGACACTCAATTTCCCCCATTGAGCTGCCATTACTTGGGGCATCCATCGGCCCCCAGACGAGCCCACAGACTCGTCCGAGAGCGTGTGAATTAGCAGGTGGAAGCGCGCCAATCATTGTATGGTAGCTCCACGGGCCGCCAAGATGGGTGCGTGTTTCCGCGGGTGACTGTAGGGATAGTTTGATATAGTTTGATGCCGTTCAAAAGATGTATTTCAAATGCGTTTTTCATCTCACTTTCGGACCACTTTTGGAAGATGAACTCGGTAAAATGTGCACGAGACTGTGGCAAGAGATCTGTTGGCAAAAAAAGGGCGGTTCGAAACAGCGCCGGATTTGCACGCGGATTTCAAGTCCAAAATGGCGTCGATTTGATGATGGTGCGTCCGTGCTATGCGGGATTGGCACGGCTTGCGCGCAGGAAAGCCTTGGTGATGGTGTGACGCTCCTGCTACTCGGGATTGCAGCTGGCTGTTGCTAAATGCTCAGTGAAGAGGTGGTTGGAAAAGACTCGCCTTAGGGCCTTAAGGAATCTCAGCGAAGTCGCGAATTTTCGTTCGTTCATTCTTTCAGGAGATTGATTCACTCATGGATTCCTTCATAGAGTAACTCATTGATTCACTCCATCATTGGTTGATTGGTTCACTGATTGGTTGATCCATTCATTCATTCATTCATCCATTCATTCATTCATTCATTCATTCATTCATTTCATTTCATTTCATTTCATTTCATTCATTCATTCATTCATTTCATTCATTCATTCATTTCATTCATTCATTCATTCATTCATTTCATTCATTCATTCATTCATTCATTCATTTCATTCATTCATTCATTCATTCATTCATTCATTCATTCATTCATTTCATTCATTCATTCATTTCATTCATTCATTCATTCATTCCATTCCATTCCATTCCATTCCATTCCATTCCATTCCATTCCATTCCATTCATTCATTTCATTCATTCATTCATTCATCCATCCATTCATTCATTCATTCATTCATTCATTCATTCCATTCATTTCATTCATTCATTCATTCATTTCATTCATTCATTCATTCATTCATTCATGTCATTCCATTTCATGTCCTTTCCCTTCCTTTCATAACATGTTTTTACGTTCCTTTGCCCGTTCATTCGTTCACATTCTTTCATTCAGTCAATCATTGCCTTTCGCTTCGTTTCGTTTCACTTCACTTCATGTCATTTCGTTTATTCATTCCTTTCATTTCATGTCATTTCAATCCATTTCAGCTCAGTTCATTCAGTTCATTTCATTTCAGTTCATTTCAGTTCATGCATTCATTCCTTCATTTTACATTCATTCAAATATGAATTAATTGATCTATTTCTTTTCTTTCCTTTGCTTTCCTTTCCTTTCATTTCATGTCCTTTCATTTCGTTTCATTTCCTTTGCTTGCCTTTCCTTTCATTTCATTTCCTTCCATTTCATTTCCTTTCATTTCATTTGATTTCATTTCATTTCATTCCGTTCATTCATTCATTCATTTCATTCATTCATTCATTCATTCATTCCATTCCATTCCATTCCATTCCATTCCATTCCATTCATTCATTCATTCATTTCATTCATTCATTCATTCATTCATTCATTTCATTTCATTCATTCATTCATTCATTCATTCATTGATTCATTGATTCATTCATTCATTCATTCATGCATTCATTCATTTCATTTCATTCATTTCATTTCATTCATTTCATTTCATTCATTTCATTTCATTTCATTTCATTCATTTCATTCATTCATTTCATTTCATTTCATTCATTTCATTCATTCATTTCATTTCATTCATTTCATTTCATTTCATTTCATTTCATTTCATTCATTCATTCATTCATTCATTTCATTCATTTCATTCATTTCATTCATTTCATTCATTTCATTCATTTCATTCATTTCATTCATTTCATTCATTCATTCATTCATGCATTCATTCATTCATTCATTCCATTCATTCATTCATTCATCCATCCATTCATTCATTCATTCATTCATTCATTTCATTCATTCATTAATTCATTCATTCATTCATTCATTCATTGATTTCATTCATTGATTTCATTCATTGATTTCGTTCATTGATTTCATTCATTGATTTCATTCATTTCATTTCATTCATTTCATTTCATTTCATTTCATTTCATTCATTTCATTCATTCATTTCATTTCATTTCATTCATTTCATTCATTCATTTCATTTCTTTTTTTCATTTCATTCATTCAGTCATTCATTCGTTCATTCATGTCATTCATTCATTCAGTCATTCATTCATTCATTTCATTCATTCATTTCATTCATTCATTCATTTATTTCATTCATTCATTTCATTCATTCATTTCATTCATTCATTCATTCATTCATTCATTTCATTCATTCATTCATTCATTCATTCATTCATTTTCATTCATTCATTCATTCATTCATCATTCATTCATTCATTCATTCATTCATTCATTCATTCATTCATTCATTCATTCATTCATTCATTCATTCATTCATTCATTTCATTCATTCATTCATTCATTTCATTCATTCATTCATTCATTCATTCATTCATTCATTTCATTCATTCATTCATTTCATTCATTCATTCATTCATTCATTCATTCATTCATTTCATTCATTCATTCATTCATTTCATTCATTCATCCATTCATTCATTTCATTTCATTTCATTCATTCATGCATTCATTCATTCATTCATTCATTCATTTCATTCATTCATTCATTCATTCATTCATTCATTCATTCATTCATTCATTTCATTCATTCATTCATTCATTCATTCATTCATTTCATTCATTCATTCATTCAGTCAGTCATTCATTCATTCATTTTTCATTCATTTCATTCATTCATTCATTCTTTTCATTTCATTTCATTTCATTTATTTCATTTCATTCATTTCATGTCGTTCATTTCATTTCGTTCATTTCATTTTGTTCATTTCATTTCGTTCATTTCACTTCATTCATTTCATTTCATTCATTTCATTTCTCTCATTTCATTTCATTTCATTTCATTTTTTCATTTCATTCATTTCATTTCATTCATTTCATTTCGTTCATTTCATTTCGTTCATTTCATTTCGTTCATTTCATTTCATTTCATTTCATTTCATTCATTTCATTTCATTCATTTCATTTCATTCATTTCATTTCATTCATTTCATTCATTTCATTCATTTCATTCATTCCATTCATTTCATTCATTTCATTCATTTCATCCATCCATCCATCCATTCATTCATTCATTCGTTCATTCGTTCATTTCATTTCATTTCATTTCATTTCATGCCATGCCATGCCATGCCATGCCATTCCATTCCATTCCATTCATTCATCCACTCAGCCAGTCGTGCACTGTTGCTCTCATGTCATTGATTCGAAGTCCAAGGCATTTATTTCATTGGTAATCATCTCATTTGCTGATGCACCTAACAAGATCAATCTCTCGCCGCTTCTGCATCGGACAGGCATTCCTATAGGCCATTGTTTTCTTATAGCAGTTGCTCTTTTTGGAGCTTCCGCCCCAGCACCACCGGGCACTACTGGTACCCCCGCGTTATCCCCATGAATGCCTGGTTCAATTCTCCATGTATAGCGTATAGATGAGGAAAAAGTCGTTGCTCCCTATATGGTTTATCATCACATCCTCTTTCCTTTTCAAATTAAACAGTTTGAATCGTAGGTTTATGTGGCTTAATCCCCAAGAATTGGCTTAATCTTAATATGGTTTGATCCCCAAGTGGCTCTCCACATGACCTCGCCAAAATCGCCAACTGAGATCCACGCTGCAAAGACGGCGACGGCTTGGCTTCCAAGGTCTCGTTGGAACTGACAATGTCGTCAGCGGCAGTCACCTTCATAGCCAGTTGCCATGGTCGGCTTGTGCCAAAAGAAAATAATAATAACATTAGTAGACGAAGGACCGTTACCCCCGTGAAACCTCTGCAGATTTCAGATTTTGAACCCCCAACTGCTAATTAGCCAGGAAATCGTCTTCCGAGCCATTTTTTGGGCCGGCCTGCGTTAAGTTCTATTGGGTGCCAGGGCATCGTACCAAAGATGCTTCGTGTTTGGGCAATCCCTGCCTAAAAGAGCTGGCGATATATGGACTGACATATATGGGCTGACATGCGCAGCCAATTTCTGATTTGCGTGCTGGTGGCATATCACGTCTGCAGGTGCGAATTAAAGCATGTAGACGGACTCTTGCACTCACGCATTGTACTTGTTCAACCGACAGGCAAGTTGTTGATTAGCTTGCGGTTGGGCACATTAACTGGCATGCGTCTTGCTGCATCAACTGCCATATGCATTGCCGCGTCAAGTGAGGAATGTAATTATTTGTTACGATGTTTGATTCGGACGTGCCGGCCATTGGCATATTGGATCGGTGTGTGCACGTGACACATGTATTAAATGTGTATTGCGCATTAGTATATAAATATAGGTAAATGTAAATATATGTAAATATATCAGCACCTGACGCCTGTGCGCTCACTTATGGCACAGAGACGTGCTCACATATTGCCTGTAGACACACGGACACACACACACACAGCGACAAAATTGGAGGACATGCTGAGATATAGATCTGCATGTGACAGCGTATTGTGGGTCATGCATCTATGTGTTCGGGCATTGCGTTAATCCAAATGCAACTCATGAGACTGCGAAAATGGACATGGCGAAAGGAAAGAGACAGAAGGACGAGTAGCAACGAACAGGAAAGGGAAGAGAGGACGGAAACACAATGCATTGTAGCCCCTCAGGTAGCAGGTGTCCAAACAACCAACATATGTCACCAGTTACAAATTCCAATCAGAAATCCTTCAAAACATATTGTAATGAAACTCAGGTTTCCAAGCATTATTTGGCACGTATTTGGCCTGAGAGACAAAACATCAAGGCCCAAAAAAAAGTTCAAGATCATTGTTGGTTGATCTCTACAGCGCCTCAATGTTCACTTGTTCTGCTCCATCGGCAAAGGATGTCCTGGAACCGGTTTGATTTTGTCATCATGCTTTGTTTGTAAATGGTGTACGCCTTCAAAATACATGTCAACAAGGAACATAAAAGCACTGATGATTGATTTGGGGTCAAAGATGTGATATGCATATGTCATGCTGAGAGATGCTGCCCTTCGGATGGAATCGAAACCAGATAAACCAGTAACTATCTATGTTGATTTACAAAATGGCCCACGATTGGTAAATATGTAGAAGACAAAATCAACGTCCATTGGGACGTGTCCCGTGTCCATGGCGACATGGCGTTTGTTGATGGGATCTGACCGGGGGTGGATGCATCTGACGAAGGGTACTGAAGGATACTGAAGGAGGTAATCCCAGGAATGGCTTCGTCCAAAAATGGTGTATTTACTACGTACCATCAACTTATGGCCATGAAAAAAACATGATGTTCTTAACCATTGGGTCTGGTGGCATCTATATACTATTTGGTAAATTAACATAGACCCCGAAAATAACCTAATTTTAATGGAAACTAATTTTCCAACCCCTATCTGCCAAAGTCTATGTTAATTTACCAGCGGGTAATGGTTGCATAAACCCGGCTGCAGACACCTCGGCAATAAAAAATATCCTGCAACTACATGGGCCAGAAGGGTGTCCAATTTCAAAACCTTGCGAGCCACATATTCTAATAATTTTGGCGCGCATCCCATTCAAAAAATGCTCGCAATGCTTGCAAAAACCCTTTGCATCTTGGCGCCCTTGATTGAGCCATACCGCAAACGAAATCTGGGTGTTGAAGTCCCCAGCCGAAATTTCAGCTCGACACCTCCTGCTCTGCGAAGATTGCGGCTCACCTAAATTTCTAAAGCAACAAATATCAAAACATGCTCAATGCGTGAAGAAGACAATGCCAAAGGCGCACAGTGAACCAAGGACAAATATTTTCCATTGATTTTTTCTGGTGTTTTCTTCTCGAGCTCGGATGACCAACGTGCCGAAACCACGTGTCGTTAGTAACAACATGTAACAACTAATTACCAGCATCAAACACAACACCTATACCCAAAACCAAATTTGGTGTTTCTGATGGTGCGGCCAGGATCTCTGCAACTTTCCTGAGGACCTAGCTGTGTTTGGTTGGCATTTTCAGTGATGACGAAATCCTCCTGTCACCATGGGTGATTTGATCAAAAACAGAACGGTACCTGTCGGCACATGAAACATCTGTACTGCACCTTGTTTCTGACCTTTCGGGCCCACCATGCGCAGAACCTGCACTTTCGCACCGCAGGGAAAAATGTTGTTCCATCACAACGCGCTATGATCAAATATCGTTGGTGACGCTACCACTCACAACATCATCCAACGAACAAAATGCCAGCTGTCAAAGAAACATCGGTTGTTGCACTCCCGTGGCGAAAAATGCTGCGCATTGCTACAAAATGGTTGCGCAACATATCTCGCCTCTTTGGTATGATTTGCAAAGTTTTGCAAGTTGAACTTGTTTTCTGCATAGCCAAACCCACAAATTTCATCAAATTTCTGCACCCCACTCCATCTCATTCTGCCCTCTGGTTAACCATCATCTTCCCCATCTATTTGATTGCTATGGTATTCCTTCTTTCCGACACTCTGAGAGATCATGCTGTTGGTTACATCATGTTACATCCCATGCAAAGTATACTAAGCTGTTGGTTTGAAACCGCATTTATGGGGAATCTACGGGCCTCTCCGCGACGACACGGACGTCACAGATGCCATGGAAGCTGACTTTTGAGGGGTGTCACCCCCACCACCTACGGGCACTTGGGGATGCATCCCAGCTAATTGGTAAAACAATATCGACACCCGTACACTGCAAGTCATGTTTATCAAGTTTGGGTTACAGAAGAGTTAGTTTTATGTGCATATATACATATGGCAGGAAAACCATTTCGTAAGCGGGTTGCACATCCACGCTGGATACAGGCAGCAAGTATAAGAAATGTGCAATATAGACAATTACATTATTGCTGATGGAAAACGTTTTGGTAATAATGTCAACCCTTGATCAATAAACCGTAGGCTGTTTAATTGGGGAAGTACAATTTAAGTATCAGATTATCACTCTTTGGGAAATACCACCCTAATTTATGAACATAGTTTATTAATCTGGGGTTAACATTACATCATGCAATGGTAGGACATCGATGATGCGCATCGCATGCACAAGTACACGTAATCGCCTGGTGGTAGTGCCTGTGTTGTACATACATGTGTACACTATGTACATTTTCGTTTGAATTAGGGGAGGGGTTGGACCCCCCTCTGCGTAGTTACAAATCATTAGGGATCAACCCCAGTCTACAAAAAGCAATCATCTGCAAAAACCTTGGGACTACAAAAAGCTAGTGCCACACCATGCCAAGAACCGAACTAAATCAGCTCTACAAGAAGGTTGTTCAATCGACATGGTTAATTTAACAGCACCATCAATCATCCAGCTGGATTTTTCCCTATCCTTTTTGTACATGTGAATCAAGCTGTGCAGTGTCATCATGAACATTCCACATTTGACCTCATGTCATCCCTTTTGCAGTAATCAGGTGTTGCACAGAAGCCATACGGCTCAGGGGGCACATCGCTACGAAAAAGCGTGAAGTGCATGCGAGCATTTGCATAGGTGCCATTTTTCCGTTTGTCAGAGCTCCTGCTGTCACACAGTGGCAGCGGAGCCACACCGATCTGAGCAATGGCTGCCAACGAAGAATCGTCGGCGGCATCTAGTGGACCTTTGGGAACCTCTAAGGATAGAGATCCCCCTCCGGCATTCGATGGAACGAATCCTGATGCCTTGAAGCAGTACCTTCGGGATCTCACCTTGTGGCGGTGGGAGACGGACGTGCCCAAGTTGAAGCATGCGGTGAAAGTCATTCGCCAACTGAGCGGAACCGCTCGTGCTGCAGCTGATGAGTTGTCAGTGGAGCAGCTGCAGAGTGAGGGAGGCATAGAACTGGTGATTGCGAAGTTGAAGGGGCACTTTCAGCCTCATTTGGAGGCAGCTATGCCCAAGGCGTTTGAGAAGGCGGTGTATGGAGAGCCGAGAAGAGCCAAGGAGTAAGGAGTCCATGCAGGACTACATCATCCGAGTTGACAAGTCCTTCAAGGAGCTCTTGGATGAAGGTGTGAAGCTTGGAGATGATGTCAAAGGGTACATTTTGTACCGCCAGGCCAATTTGAACAGTACTCAGGAAGACCAAGTAGTCACATGGACCTCTGGGAAGTATGGCAGAGAAGAGGTAGTTCGTGCCTTGCGAAAACTGGACAAAGTTCACAAAGAGCGGGGCGGAAAGTCCTACCTCAATGAGGAGCCAGAGAACTTGGAGACCGCCGAGACCTATCTCGGATCCGAGGTTGAGAATGACCACGAGATTGAGAATTACGTGTACATGAATGAGGGCGATATGGATCAGATTTTTGAAGAACAAAGTCTTCATGAAGCTCTGGCCACCTACCAGCAGGTCAGGAAAGCCATTCGAGACCAAAAGACTTCTCGAGGATGGAACAAAGGCAATAGCAAAGGCAGCGGGAAGATTGCTTTTGGCATTGGCAACAACCGTGGTGGGCTTCAGTTCAACCAAGGAAGTCGAGTGCATATTGAAAGCCTCAAACTGAGGACACGATGTGCACGTTGTGGAGTAGTTGGGCATTGGGCTCGCGAATGCAGCAGTCCACCTGATGAGTTTGCCCGAGCTCGTGCAGCCAACTCAACGGCGTCCAGCAAAAGTGCACCAGCGTCAAGCATGTCAGGCAGGTCAGGTTTTGTGCATGTGACCAACTCAGAGCAAGGGGGGACGGATAGCCTTGTCACCATCACCAAGAATTTTCAAGTCAGTACGTTTTGCGGCATAGCCACACATGGAGCTTTTGGTTTGGTTGACACGGCAGCAAAATCTGGACTGGTGGGTGAAGAAGCACTGTCAAGACTTGAGAAGGTTTTGGAAAGTTTTGGTTTGAAGATCAATCGAACAGATCGAAAAGCACAAGCAAGAGGCGTAGGAGGTGAGGCAAAAGTGAAAGAAGTAGTTGAGATACCATTGGGCCTGGGAGGAATCAATGGAATTTTGGAAGCTACCGTAGTTGCAGAAGATGTGCCATTGCTGATTCCGGTCAAGTTGCTTCGGGAGTTGAGGGCAGTGATTGATTTTTCAGTTGAGCAAGTGAGTTTCAAAAAGCATGGCACCAACACTCCAATGTCCATTCTTCCTTCTGGCCATGCATCCATCAGCATAGTTGAATTCCCACCAGAGGGGTGGAATCTCCCAAGAGAGGCACAGATGAGAGGAATCAAGGTGGAAGACTTCCAGATCAGCAGTGGCATGAGAACTTCTTTGTTTACGGCAGCCATGTCAGAAAACTCAAATTCGAACGGCTCCAAGTCCACCGATCTTCCACCTCATGGCGAGCTTGCTGCGCCGATTGGTGGACCTGGAGGAAGCCGACAATGGGGAGAAGGCGACTCCCAAATCCCGAAGAGCGACTGCTGGATGGCGATGCATCATGGAAAAGGTGCTGGTGCTGATCTGTCGGCATCGAGAAGAGATGGCTCAAGAGGCAAGAAAACGCATGGGAATGGTGCTGGGCTTGCAAGGCACTGGATCGCCTTATGGATTGCAGCATCATGTTGCATCCCCACCGGTGGTGCCACCATTGCCTGTCTTTCAAGGGCATTTGAGCAAAGCGGACGAGCTGGAGAAATCGCGGATGAATGGAATTCCACTTCCTCCCAGGAAGTGTCAAATGCCTCCAAGAGTACCGGCATGTTTGTGCCAGCATCCGAAGAGCAGTTTGGCATCTTCGGGAAATCCACACCAGCGCGAAGTGTGGTGTCAGGAATGCCACTCCAGGTGGAAGATTGCCACCACGCCACTTCAGATGAAGCTCCAGTCAGTGCCGACTTCTCTGACCATGCAGGTTCCAGGAACTCCCACGACCTCGATTGCCACGGCATCTCCGAAGTCAACTCCAGGGATGGGGTCAGTCAGAGTGAGCTCCATCAATTGCAATTGCGGACTTCCCGCAAATCGACTCAGAGTGAAGAAGGAAGGAGCCACCAAGGGAAGGCATTTTTACAAGTGCCCGCAGCAGATATGCGAGTTCTTCGCGCGGGATCAAGCGGAGGTGGAGGCGATCAAGACCAATGTCAAGAAGGCTCCAGAAGTGAGTCCAGAGATCTCCAAGCAGTTGGAGGAGATGGAACAGACCAAGCAAGAGCTGCTTCGCCGAGAGGACAGTTTGAGACAGAGAGAGGACTCAGTGCTTCAGATGCAAAGCTCATTGCATCAAGGTGCGCAGCAGTTAGTGGGAACCGTGGTGGAGCAGGCGGAACAGAGACATCAGGAGGTCATGGAGTCTCAGCAGGCTCAATACCAAGGGCAGTTGGAGCAGATGCAAAACCAGCTGATTTGGCTCACGGCATTGGCTGGAGAGAGCAGAGTAGAAGAAGTGATGGCAGATCCAGCGAAGAGCCAGGAGGTGATGGCACAGGCTTTGGAACTTCGTCAGAAGATGCTGACGGAGGCAAATCGTCAAGGAGCTCAGACGGAGGGTCAGATGCCTCCCTGAAGGAGGAGCAGACAGCAAACAGCACAGCAGTTCTGGAAGGCAGCCAGGACTGGAATATATGGCAAACAGAATTAGATGCAAATACCATGGAAGCCTTGCTCACAGATGCCCCCTGGGCCTCCTTTGTGACTGAGGGCAAGGCATGGAACACAGCTGTGAGAGTGCAGCTACAGGAGAAGTATAAGCCCGAGGAGGAGAGAAGCATTCAGCCCGTATTTTGGCTGAAGGAGCAGGGCAAATGGAAGTTTCACCAAGGCATTTTGCCTTCCAATCCCGTCAATGGAGGAGCAGTTTTGGCAGTCACATGCAAGCCGCAGTCTGAGGACGTTGAGGATGAGAAGGGTGGACTCTTGAAGAAGGGAGTTCGAAAGAGACTTTTGAGGAAAATGGAGGAAGTCACAGTCTCAGAGGTGTACTCAGAGCCAAGACTCACCAAAACAGCAGAGCGTTTGGGCATGAGAGGAGGAAGCAGTTTTGATTTGAAGACTGGTTTTGATTTGAGAACAGAGACTGGCAGGAAGCGATGCTGGGCACAGCTTCGTCGAGAGGATCCAGATCTTTTGCTGGTCTGCCCGCCATGCGGACCTTTTTCCTGTCTTCAGAATCTCAACTACGACAAGATGCAGCTTCCAAAGGCTGTTGCTCTGCTGGGAGATGGGGTAGAGCATTTGAAGTTCTCAATGGAAGTTTATGAGTGGCAAGTGCGCAGAGGGCGCAAGGCAATTTTTGAGCATCCCTCAAGGTCTCGAGCGTGGGACGAAGAATGCGTGAAAAGAATTTTGGAAATCCCAGGAGTTTCAAGAGTCAGAGGAGATCAGTGCATGTATGGTTTGAAAGTTTTGGAAGGAGAAGAACTCAGCAGAAAGCCAACAGATTTCATGGTAAATGGAGACCATATGAGCAAACGTCTTTCTATGAGGTGCGATGGAACGCACACCCATGTTCCTCTCATCAACGGCAGAGCGAAGAAGGCAGAGAAATACCCTGAAAAGCTGTGCGAAGCCATGGTGAAGGGTTTCAGAGAGGACATCACTGCAGAGGGTTCAGTGATTTTGGCGTTTGACTTGGAAGAAGAATTAGATCAAGAGGTAGAAAGGCAAGGAGGAGAGGCCGCAGAAAGCAACAGAGATGCAGAGGTCCTCAGAGGAGCATTAGAAGATCCAGAGGAGGATGAAGAGGAAGAAGAATATGAACTGCCCAGAGGCATTACTGAGGCAGACAAGAGAAAGATCAGAAGGCTTCACAACAATTTGGGTCATCCAAATCAACAAAGCTTTCTGAGAGCACTGAGAATTGCAAGGGCAAGGCCAGAAGTGATTCAGTTTGTCAAGGACAAGTTCAAGTGCGACATTTGTGAATCTCATGCCCTACCAAAGGCAGTTCGTCCCTCGATGCTTCCACGTCATTTTGAGCCAGGTAAGGTGATTGGCGTAGATATGGTGTTCATGCCCAGCCACAATGCAAGACTCACCATACCAGTGCTGAATGTGGTTGACTGGGGAACATGCTACCAGTCATTGGAACCTTTGGAAGGTAGGCTGTCGGAAACTATCTGGAAAGGGTTCATGAGGAGCTGGGTCAGGATTTTTGGCATGCCTGAGATCGTCGTGTGCGACCAGGGAAGGGGGTTCATGAATGCTTTTTGCAGGAAGGTGAATGAAGGAGGTGCGATTATTCGTACCATTGGTGCAAGAGCGCCATGGCAACAAGGCAGGACAGAGCGGCATGGAGGACTGGCAAAAGGCATTCTGAAAAGAGTAGTTGACCAGGTTGGACCTTCAAACTATGATGAGTGGGTCACATGTGTTTATGAGGTAGAGAGCGCAAAGAACCGGATGTTCAACAGGAGCGGCTTCTCACCAGCACAGAGGCAGATAGGCATGAATGTGAGGATTCCTGGAAGTCTAGCAAGCGACGATCAGTTCGATGCTGTAGCTCAAAGGTGCACTGCAAGCGAAGACATTCAGAGAATGATGAGAATTCGAGAGGCAGCACAAGAGGCATTCTTGAGACACACCACACATGAGGCAATTGCAAGAGCAGAGAAAGCCAGGCCACGAGTGTCCAGAGATTTTCTGCCTGGTGAAGCAGTTTTTGTATACAGGAAGCCATTGCCAAGAAAGGGAGGAGGAGTTGATGGCAGAGTGGCGCAATGGTGTGGGCCGGGCACAGTGGTGGTGCAAGAGGGCCCAAATCTTTGGATAGCAATGCGAGGAGAGATGTGGAAATGTGCCAAAGAACAGGTACGAAGTGCAACAGCAGAAGAAGAGGAGGCATATGGGCTTCTCAAAGATGAGTTCAAGCAGTTGCAACTTGAGCTCAAGCGAAAAGGGAGCAAGAGGGGATTCAAAGATATCTCCGAATGGCAGCTTCCTCCTGAGGCAGAAGGAGAAGAACAAGAGGAGTCACCAGAAGAGGCTCAGGAGCCTCCCATGCAAAGACCCAGGCTGCAGCAAGCAGCCTCTGAGGAGACAGAAGAGAGCGTGCCACCACCTACGATCTCTAGTGTGGCTTCAAAGGCAGAAAGTAACAGCAACAGCTCAAGCAGTGAGCCAAGTCCCAGTCACCAGGAAACTCAGCAGACTGAAGCAGCGGGTCCTTCAAGTTCCCGTCCAAGCAGAGCAGTTGCCGTGCCCGAGGAGGTGATGGAGAGAGCAACGCAATCAGTGATGCGAAATGAGAGACTGGACGGCACAACTCCCAGAGGGTTTGCACCTACGCGAAACAAGCTGGACAGCATCAGGTTCAATCCATACGGCAGTCAGATGTGGTGCATAGGCATAGATGAAACCGTAGAGCAGAAGCAAGCACACACAGAGGATGAGTGGGTTTTTCATCAGGAGTCAAGAACCTTGCTGAGAAGGCACAATCAAGAGAGAAAAGGTGCGTTCATTCCAAATGACAAGAAAGGCTGTCCTGTTCCTGTGAAGTTTCTCCAAAATACAGCCACAGTCTACCAACAATTTTTAGATGGTGGGCAGAAGATCCAAGTGAAGAATTGGCGAAGAGAGGATCACAGAGAGGGGCCGAAGCGTTTTTGGAGTGGGTTCACAGAGTTCAAGCTCAAGAAGAGCGTTTCAATTTCAAAGGTTTTGGAAGTGTTGGCATCAGGCAAAGGAAGTGACGAAGTCAAGGAGTCAGATATCAGACCAGAGGATTGGCCTTTGTGGAGAGTTGCAGATGGAGAAGAATGGGCAAAGGTGGAGGCATCAGGAGCTGTGAGGACGCTGGATTTGGCAGAATCAGCAGAGGTGGAGAGACAGTTGAAGGAATCTGGCAATGCAGATAGAATTCTGCCATCAACAGTGGTTCGGAGGTGGAAGCCGGCTGAACTCCCAGGCGATCCTCCCACCATGAAGTCTCGATGGTGTGTCAGAGGTGACAAAGATCCAGATTTGCTGTCTCTTGACCGTTACTCTCCAACGGTCACCACGGCCATTGTCTCCATAGTTCTTCAAACAGCAGCCAACTTCAACTTCCGATGTGCAATTGGAGATCTAAAGAATGCGTTCATGCAATCATTGCCCTTGATGCGTCCAAAGTGAAGACTGTTTCGCAAGCAACCAAGAGGAGGACTTCCTGGACTTTCCGCAGGTCAAATCATAGAGATCCATGAAGGAGCCTACGGCTTGGGAGATGCTCCAGCTCACTGGCGGAAGTCACTTTTGAAGGTTCTCAAAAGTCTTGGTTACCAACAGTCCAACATGGACCCATGCACATTTAGGCTCTTCAAGGATGGAAAACTCCGAGGCTTGATTGTGATAGAAGTGGATGATTTGCTGACGCTTGGAGATGATTTTCATTTTGCAAAAATGCAGGAATTGCAAGAGCGTTTCAAATTTGGGAAGTTCAAGTTTCTACATGAGGAGAAACAGGGCGTATCTTTCAATGGAAGAAGGCTGAGGATGAAAGAGGATGGCACATATCTGATAGATATGCAAAAGTTTATTCAAGAGAGGCTCAGAGAGGTGCCCTTGCAGGTAGGAAGAGCAAGCAAAAGAGAAGAGGATGCAAATGAAGAAGAGCGGAAACAGGCACGGGCAGTCATCGGTGCCCTCACATGGGCAGCAAAGGAGGGCAGACCAGATTGTGCAGCAGCAGCAAGCATCATAGCAGGAACATTAAACAGAATGAAGGTGCAAGATGTCCTGGATCTCAACAAGGCCGTTCGAGAAGCAAAGAAAACTGCAGGACTTTGTCTCCAGATCCAACCAATTCCGTCAAGCAGAATGATCTGGGGCGTTGTGACTGATGCATCATATATGCCAATGCACAGGAGAATTCATCACAAGGAGCATATGGAGTGATCTGCGCTGATGAATCTATCCCTTCAGAAGGAAGCGGAAAAATGAATCTTTTGCATTGGCGTTCAGGAAAGATGCATAGGATCATGAACTCGACATTGGCTGCAGAATCTCAAAGTTTGTCGAAAGGGCTGAGCGAGCTTGCGTGGACGATCACGGTGTATAAAGACATGGTCACCGAAGGATTTGATCTTCGCGAATGGCAACAATCTCTGAGAGACCAGCGCGTAGTCACACTAACCAAGGACGACATGGATGAAACTCTAAAACGGAGTTTATGTGTCGTAGATGCGAAGTCACTTTTTGACCATTTGGTGAAAGAAACGGTAGGTTGTACAGACGACAAGCGAACTGCCATTGAAATGCAGGTCATCCGTCAGACCATGCAAGAGACGGGATCTTCCATTCGTTGGGTACCACACCCAAAGATGTTTATGGACTGCTTAACGAAACGAGCAGGAAACCGTGTCCCGCTTTTACAGCTTTTGGACACAGGTAGGTATAGTCTATGTGACAATGAGGTCAACAAGAATTGTGAGGAATCTGTGAATCAAGCTGCGCAGTGTCATCATGAACATTCCACATTTGACCTCATGTCATCCCTTTTGCAGTAATCAGGTGTTGCACAGAATCCATACGGCTCAGGGGGCACATCGCTACGAAAAAGCGTGAAGTGCATGCGAGCATTTGCATAGGTGCCATTTTTCCGTTTGTCAGAGCTCCTGCTGTCACACAGTACAGGATTCTGTGCTCTCAGGAGGTTGGGTCCCTTCGAACCTGGGGCATTTTGAAGAGAAAGAAGGTTTTAATGTATAAATCCTTTTTTAATCCTCGTGCCGGCTACTTTGTAGAGGCGCCGTCCGGCTATGTACAACAAAATTCCTATCCTACAGTAACATCTATGGTATCTGCGTTTTGATTCAACCTGCACTTTCCTTTCAAAATATACACTACCAAAAAAAAAACTATGCATCTAAAGTTTAAAAGGGCTGAAAATCGGACATGCTAACATGATTTTTCCCATGAAAATTTTGTAATTGGGCCTATTCCATCCAAAGTTCTGACCAACATTTTTCTCAGGAAACATTTTGTAGCTGTCATTGCTTGAATTTGATTGGATCAAGTTTGGACCTCATGCAGTTGTTAGATACCAAATCCTGTGTTGGCAGCGGGCTCAAAATAATTACAGGTTACGCACTGGCAACGTGTTCACCCACTACAAAGTGCTAGCACCAGGTTGATCCTGTACAAAAAAGGCCCCTGGATGCTTTCTCCCAGTCTTACTGGGGGCAGCGAGTTCAAAACAATCACAGGTTACGCACTGGCAGCGTATTCAATTGCAGGTGAAGTACTGTAGTGGCAGCGGGTTCAATTACAGTTTATGTATTGGTAGCGGGTTCACAATAAGTACAGTACAGGTTACGCACTGGCAGCGTGTTCAAGTACAGGTTAAGTAGTGGCAGCGGGTTCAACTACAAGTTGCGTATTGGCAGCGGGCTCACAATAATTACAGATTACGTACTAGCACCATGTTCAATTACACGTTAGGTAGTGGCAGCAGGTTCAATTGCAGGTTACATATTGGCAATGGGCTCAAAATAATTAATTACGGGTTACGCACTGGCAGCGTGTTCACCCACTACATACAAAGTGCTGGCACCAAGTTGGTCCTCTACAAAGAATGCCCGTGGGTGTTTTCTCCCAGTCTTCACCCCTGGGGGAAGCCCTTCCCGAATCACTGCCCCACATTACAAACCTCAAACCCAAGGATTTCATCGTGCACATCTGTTACTTTCAGTGAATGCCGTTTTACAAGGTTTGCAAAAAGAGCTGCGGCGTCGCAGGTTCCTTTTGCAAAAAGTCGGTTAACCCACTTGAAGAAGACTACAAAAACCTTGGCACAAGTGCTTTGTTTTTCTACAAAGCGACCCTACCTGGCGGTTTGTAGCGTAGCCCAAGTCCTTCCCTTTCTGTAGGTGTTTCCCCATCCCCAATCAAAAAACTACATGCAAACACTCTATAAAATGACCCCTCTAGAAAATGAGTTCCCAGGTTTTCAGCACTCTGACATGGCTGCTCAAGCTTCAAAATGAAGTTTTCTACAAAAAAATGATTACATTTTTACATGACCGAAAAACTGTTCCAAAATGACCTTTTTACAAAAAACTAGTGCATCCAACATGATTTATACATACCACTATTTGTCTACAATGACTGGGGAACCAACCCCATTTTTCTCTATAAAACCGCTAGTTTTTTCAGCTTTATACGGGACCCAAACCCTCTCAAAACGTAGAGGGAATCCAAACGGGGATCTATGTACTAGATATCGTCTACACTTAGGTACCGAAATTTTCCCGTAAATTCATGTGTTTGGGAGTGGCAAAATTTCAGCCAATTAGACGGTGGCAACTTTGACTTAAATTTAAGCAAAACAAGGATGTAGAGCGCAGACTGCTTACGTTGAGATTACATTAGCAAATTATGGCAAATATGTTTGAAGCAAGGCAGGGTATGTTCCATTGATTGCTGATCGATCCGGTGATAAACTTATAGTCCTGTACGGATGGATGCTTGGGACTGGCATCATCCCACCATATCGCACATAATTCCGCATAGCCCTTCGAAATACTTCCGCCTCCCAGGACACTTCGCACTGGATTCGTACTAAGGCAATGGCCCGGCTCAACATCGGGTTCGTCAACGGTAGCTGGACGGGATATAGTTCCAGGGGCTGTGGGTGCAGCACCCGGTGTGGCAGAAACATGCCGTAGCCGAGATCGCACTGCCCCCAGCTCCTGCAACATCGACGGCCCAACAACCATCCACAACACTAGCCACAACAGGGCTACACACAAATGATGCACCATTAGGATCCATTAGGCAATTACCAGGCAATTCAAACTGAACATAACAAACCCGTCCCATTTCCAACAATGTTTCTATTCGGATGGTTTATTTTAATTCTGAGTAATTCTTTGGCCGCACCATGCCGCACCCATGCACAATATGTATCCGCAGGTCTTTCAGGTACTGCGTCGTCGAAGACAACTGTTTCTTCTGCATTTCATCCACCTTGCAGACACAAAATGTTGCTCCGAATTCCATGAGTAGCGACAAACAAAAATTGTTGCTTTACAATTAAAAAATAAATAAAAAAATGTTCAGTGGTGATAAAGAGTACCCGGTATTTACCAGCCGGTTTGCAATCATAAACCAGCACAAGTTTTGAATAGATTTCATGTCCTGCTGCTGGCCCCCCAGCGGCAACAACAACAACAACAACAACAATCGAAATCGGTGCGACATCTGTACCGGGCGGTCATGGACATCTGTACCGGGCGGTCATGGACACGCAACAAATTGAACCTGCCTGCTACCTTTGCGCGTTCAAAATTAGAGAGTGTTCCAAATCCGTTTGTTTTTCAGCCCAGTCCGGTCCCTCTAAGAAGGAACGAACAATCCGTTAAAATATTACCCGATTCGCGTACCAATATCGCAAATTCATTTGACGTTTGCATGATGCAAGGCAAACGTTGCTGCACATTTTTCCCACCTTCGGACAGACTGTTGGTTACATTTAAAAACATCGCATGTTTCACATGTTTCACTGTTACGATCCGGCCCCACCAAACGAATTTCCCGAAGCTTGATTGCAAATCTGTCACCATCGATCGTTTGTTGTGAACAACATGTATTCAAACATTTGGATCCCCATGCTATTTACGGGGTTGCAGCCAGCCATTTAATATATGGTGAACCCGGCACTTTTCTCTACAAAATGCCAAGCCAAAAATTGTGCCCGGACATCCTGTCTACTAAACCAGGGCCATGGATAGGTTTCTACACAATGACGACCAAAACCAAAAAAACGATTTTTTCTTTCAAAAACAATGGTTTTCAGAGGCGGCTTGACCCATCATCAGGAGCCCATCTTGTAGACAAACCATTGGGCCCTGAGCATCCTGAAATGATTTATGACATTGATTTCAAAACAAAAATGTTGAAAAAAATCCAAACTGCACCAAGACCCCACATTGAAGGGAACACAAAACACCAAAGGGATGTTTTGTTTTGATTCCGTCTCAAACCATTAAGACGCGAATTATTGAGAAATCATGGTGTTGTGGACCTATTCCCTTCTTAATCCCGGTGCGGTTTCCAGTTAAGTTGTGCTAAGCACTTCGTTCTTAAAGGGCTAAGAACCAGTTTCAAAGACTCCGGTTGTTTGCATTGGAAAC